GAAGGAAATGTACTTTATAAACTCCAGCGATATACTTTCTTAATTTATAATTAACTGTTTTGCTATCCTCGGTTGAAAATCATATATTGTAAATATTTAAATAGTTGCATAGAAAACAATCAGTTTTAAACAGTGTGGTTATTCACTAAATGTATTGATTAAAGGTGACTCCATTTTTGTACATACTTTTACAGTAGTCATCCTTAATTTCTTAATATTTCGTTTATAAGTTTATCATACATGTATGATTGTGTATTTCATCTTAATACGCACGCATGCCACACGTTACTTTGGCGGATAGTTCAACAATGTTATGCAAAGCTCTATTCTTACGGTATGAAATTAAAGGATAAATTTTCAACCAATTAAAATCGAAAACAGTACATTTATATAGTTCCTTATAAACTACGACATGTCTCACAAGTATTTATTTATTTTGTAGTTCCACACATGCAAAAATAAAATCTTCGCCGATGAAACATTTCAAACCTTTTTACACCAACATGCCTTCACTGAATTCATTTGAATTTCGTGGTGACCATGATAGTACATTGCATAGTACATCTATATTCACGTGCACACATGATACGATCTTTCGGGGACAATTTGCTCGTTTATGACACGTCATTTCTGAATGACCAAACGCTTAGCTACTTTATTTTCGTTTTATAGCATGAAAACAATAAAAGAGGAATGTGCAACCCATCATAAATTTGAAATGGATCAGTATTATGAGATCCTTATTATAAGTAACTACGACATTGTCAGGATAATAACCTAGCGTCAATATGAAAGAAATTAAAGTGGTTCATACATTCATCCGTATAAAAGCGGCACATGTATTTTATTTTATCCTTATATTTTTCATAGTGCGGTACAAGTGCTGCATGCATAAAGAATATTACTTAACACAAATTATTAGTATAATATTTCGACCCCACTATTTGAAATTTACAAAATACTTATTTAATTATTTCGACCAAAAATCATTGTTTTTTACGTTCGTAGTAACGTAGTACATTCCATTGTCGGTCACCTGTGTCAATTCATGTGCACACTACAATTGTTGTTGTATTTAAATCTTTCCGCCAATGAAATGAGACGTTACAAGTTGTTTGTTTGTGATACGCCAGAATGTTATCAATGAATTATCAATCGCTAAACTTGCCTGCATTTCAGTGTACCTATTCAAAAACGTAAATGCAAATTTCACAAGGCTTGATCCAAATAGCCTTTTTACTGTCTAATAACTTGCAAGTACGAAAAAGACAGGAAAGAAGTATATTTTGTCTATATGTTTTGTGTTTGCACACTTTTTAAAGTTGATCATGCATTCGTTCTAAAATAAAATTTTGACCAGATAAAAGTTAAAAGACGACATAATTAGACAACCGCTATAGTTAAATCGCTTTGACGTTCGAAAAAAAGATAATAATCAACACATCCATTGTAACTTTTAAAGCCAGTTAAATCCTTTTTTGCTGAAAGAACGTCCGATATCATAAAAATTCATTATCAAAACATAACAAAAACACAAGTAAAAAACGTTTAAGTATTCAATATAAATCAAAACACAAAGGTTATTCCTGATTAGTTTTTCGAATTATTTTATTTAGGCGTTGAGACCCTTTGGTGACCCTACAGTTTAAATGTCTATAATAAATACGTCGTGAGTTGTGGGCGTTACAGACGAACGTTCACCTAATCTGTCCCAGTCAATGGGATATTTTAGCGCGCCAATCAATGGTCTCGGCTACACTGTTTTGCACATGATTCTAGATGACTTTAGTGAGATTTGGCTCAATTTTGGGGTTTTCAATTCTCTTTAAAATATGTAATTGATTCGGCCGTTCAACTGTTTTGATATGAGCACCACTGGTATAGACGAAATGTGAATCTACAGTACATAATCATTTGCTTGGTATCTTTAATAAAAAGAAATTCATCAAAGATACATGGCTTCTAATTTAGTACAACAGACGCACGTTTCTTGTACATAAGACTTATTAGTGGCGCTCGAATAAATTCATCTGAAAAATCAAATCAAATATGCAATTAAAGAATATTACAAAAAGGAAAATCCGGAAAGTTGTGTCATATATAGCTAAGGCTAACTATGCCTGAGGTTAGAAAACCTTAGTGTTTCAAACATTTCAACATTTTATAAACAGTAAATTTACAAAAATGAACATATCTGTCAACACATAAGTGCTGGCTACAGGGCTGGTGATAATCTCGGGACGAAACATCTACCAACATTGGCACCGACCCAGTGGTTGTAAAAAAAAAACAAATACACTAGGCTCATAATGTGTTACGCCAGACGAATATTTCTTCTACAAAACCCTCGTCAGTGGCGCTCGATGCCAAGACAAATACGGATAAGGCAATATATACCTGGGGTTGAAAAACGTTCTTTGCTCGTGTGTAATAACATATGATGGTATTATATGTAATATAAAACAAGATGTTACGTTCATTTTTACAAAGTTTCATTTAAAAAAATGTACCTACATTAGTACAATGTTTATTTACATATATCTTTAACAGTTTTTAATAAAAATTAGACAATGGAGAATATAAATGATATGAAAAGAAATTTAAATAATCACATCACATAAAACTTGAATGGAGTATACGTTTGTTTGTTAAGTTAAGGTCATTTTATCATTTAAATGTTTAAAGTCACATGGTAAAATAACAGAGACATTCACAGCACACTGTGTAATAAACATAAGAAGATGTGGTATGATTGCCAATGAGACAACTCTCCACAAGAGACTAAATGACACAGAAATTAACAACTATAAGTCACCGTACGGCCTTCAACAATGAGCAAATTGCTTTGATCGGAAGGCTGTTACACTATTTATACTTACTCCATCAAGTATTTTATACTTAAAAAATAACATAGAGACATATAATGGTTTACTTTTATAAATTTTGACTTGGATGGAGAGTTGTCTCATTGGCACTCATACCACATCTTCTTATATCTATATAGTATGTACTATCTTCATTTATAATTATTGAAATAAATGTATGAAATAAATGTAGGAAATTAATAGTCAGGGTTCGTATACATCATATATTAACATCTAGACAAAAATAGGGATTAGAAATACTTGATTTAAAAAAAAAATATTTGCAGATTTTAAGAAGTAAATGGACTATACCAAGCATCATCTCAATATCTACAAAAGGATTGATAACTTAAGAAAATCTGAGAAGAATTACTAATGAAAAAAGCCAAATTACAGACTGAAGTTGAATTATGATGAAGTTAAAATAAAACGTCAACAAAGTGATGAGAAATGCTCTAAATGGCTCTTTGGATAAGGTAAACCAAAATTACACCAGACAATATATCACTAGTATTCAGGATAAGTTTTGTCATGTGGTTTCTGAATTTAGGTTTTGTTTTAATATTAGGCATTGGAGGAAGGGTGGTGTTAAAGATAAGGAAAGGTCAGATGATTATTCTGGTCAAAAGAACTAAAAGTGATACATGTACTAGATCCATTATTCCTCAAGGCTTTCCTTTTGTCCTTAGACATTCCTCCATATCTTTCCATTTTAGTTGCCGAGTTTTAACTAATTGGAGATACATTCCAATTTAAAGGTATACGTTTGTATGTGTATGGAAATATATCTTATGTTAGCGACATATTAAAATATTCTACTCTTCATCTTAAAATGACAGCCTAAATGCTTCATACTTATAAATTATATAAACTTTAACTCTTGAAATTATAAGTGTTAAAGTTAGGGTCTGATAAACTAAATGATGTCTTTAGATGGGTGCAGTTATAAAATGTGTAAATCAAGATTTATCGTTGCTTAAAGTTTAATAATGTCTCGTTTCTTTACCGCACTAAATTGAATGGAAAAGATGACAATAAACTATGAAGTGTACAGTTCATTCGAGGTCTGTCCTTATGGTTATAAAAATTTGGAATACGATTATTATTCTCGGACTCGGACTTCAACAAATCAAAATACTAAATTTGGTGTTTACTAAATAAAATGTAATGACTTGTGCTCAGGTTAACTTTCAAATGAACTGACTGTGGTTGAAACATACATTATGTTCACATACACTGTAATTAACTGTTTGACCAAACCAGTTTAGTAACTATTGGTATTCTTTCAAAAACTGAGTATTATAGGGGGAAAGTAGAATCTTCTTTTCATGGCATTAGGTTGGTCTATGTGAACTTTACTAAGGCGAAGGCAGTCAACTTTGGAGTGCTGTGATTGAATGTATAGGCATGACACATAGAAAATATTAGTATTGTCGCCTATTGATGAAACACTACTACAGTTTTCCTTATAGCACACATAGACTGTTTGAACAATATCAATAGCCAGGCAGTACATTACGCAGTAACATTACGAACAGACTCGGCACAACACACGAATAAACTATACAAAACAATAAACATAAAAAAATATGAGAAACAGCAAAAAAACGATAACCACTAAATTACAGGTTCTAGATTTGGGATTGGCACATATTGAATGTGGCAGGGATATTTGAAGGCGCCAACCCATAAGTTATTTTCTAGTTGTAAAAGTTTACAAAATGAAAGATGTAGATTGTGATTGATTGATTGATTGGTGTTTAACGCCATTTTCAACACTATATACTATTTTGTGGCGGTCAGTTTTTATCGGTGGAGGAAGCCGGAGTGCCCAGAGAACCACCGACCTTCGGTAGGAAAACTGACAATCCTAGTCAATTAAGATTGGATGCGAGTGCACCTGCCCCGTGCAGGATTCGAACTCACAACCTCAGTGTTAACTGGCTAGCGATACAGTAGTTCGACTACTTTTTTTTTCTTTTTAGACCACTCGGCTACCGAGGCCCCTGTATGTTGTGTTTATTTGCGTTATATAAACGTCATATTTAAACAAAGTTTAATATCCTCTGTTCTCTTCATCTTTTTGTATTCATAAAACGAATTATAATATGTAAAATATCCTATAGACATATTTACCAGCAGGTTCCTTAAGCCCTTTGGTTTCTTAGGAGGAAAAGTGTGTGCCTCCTCAGGAAGTTCATCATGATGGTCTATCAAAAAATTATCATCTTCACATGGTTCCATTTTTACATCACCCTCATCAACAATGTTCATTTCCTCCACTGTACTCTCCTGTTAAACATTAACAGAATTTTCAAACAATGAATATTTACATTTATAATTAGTTTTAAGCTCACAAAAGGTATATGTTTTACACACATATATATAAAAAAGAAATTATATGACACTGAAATGAATGGTTTATTTCATTTCTGTGATTGTACTAAAACAATGCAAGCAATTATTCTTAGATACAAATTCTTTTGAAATTTGAAATTTTAGAAATAGAAATCTTCAAAAGAAGGTGTAGTATATTTTTGATTGGAAGTTGGACTTCACAATTTCGAAGAACAGCCATTGAAAATGCATTTTCCAGCAAAAAAAATTAAATGACTATTTTTCATTTTATTTTCTTCATTGCAAAAAAACAATCTGTATTAAAATATACATGTTGAACACCTTACACTGTTAAATAGCAATCTGATGGGGAATAAACAAATCAATTAGATATAGAAAATGCCCAGTTTAGAGTTATGCAATTTTGTTTATTGCTTCAAGTGAATATATGTTAATTGTAACTTAGATTAACCTAAATAATTGACTTAAATCAGATAATTATAACATTGATTTTTCAAGTAAAGTAGACCCTGCTTGCATGTTTATACATATTTTGTTTTTTGTCTTTTTATTTAGCAAAAAATGCATTTATTTAATCAGTAATCATTCATCTTTGAGACATAATTTACAGAATAATTTATGTAGTGTAGATCAACAGTGATTATAGGTATAATATATTAATACTATTGTGTATTAAGATATATTAAGCTGTATAATAAAGTGTCTATTCAATTATGTAATATAAGAGATATTTATTGTGGTCAATTCACATTGGCATTTAGGTGGAGGTGATTCCAATTGATACCCCACTTTTGAGTAAACGTTTGTGTAAATAATGACAGTTGTCTATTATATTGTAGCGTATTAGTACTCTTACCTTAGGGAAGAATTGGAATAATAGCATTTAAAAAAGTGTGGGAATCAACTTTGACTTCAATACACCAAGTTTCATTCAATTACTTACACAAGCAAATTAAAGATACTGATAAAATACTTGCGTAATTCTTATCAACTGCTTAAACTTGATATATTACTTTTACACATTAATTCATAAATAGTAATTTATTATAAATTTTAATTTACAAAAGGTACTTTATGCAAGTGTATATCTAAAATAAAGTAGCTGTTCGACCAAACTTTTCAAATTTAAGGGCGAATAACATGTCAAACGTTGGCAGTTGATTAAAATGATGTATAAAGTTTCTGCAAGTCATAAAAACACAAAATTAGTTACATGATATGTCTTCAACTTAGAATTCTGCACCATCTCAAAATCCGGAGTGATCACATAGATCATATAGATCTAACGATCTTACGTTGTATGCCAAATTTTACGAAAATTTGTGACACAGCCCATTTGCTGTAACTTGATCATAACATTTTAGTGACATGTTGACTTTAAATCTTTAGAAGCATATTGTATTGAAAAGGGAGTAGTATTTCAGCAAAGCTAAAGATTAACAGTCATTTGGAATAATTTATTTTATTATTGTTTGGTTGTATGTGTTTAAGTAACTTGGATGTATCAATTTAACATGACTGTATCAATTAGTCTGAAATCGGATTCAAGTTGTAAATAAATAATTGTGATAAAGTATTTTCAAAAGAGATATATGTTTCCTTTGATCAGTTTTTACAGTTGAATTAAGATTCTCTTTTAAATAGTTTGTTACAAAAAGTACACAAACCAGATGTCTTTATATTAGAGCATTTAAACAAGGTTTCTAATGATTTCTTCTACATTTAAACTACATATTTAACTTTTTTTTTATTCGAGCGTCACTGATGAGTCTTTTGTCAATCTTGGTATATATGGTGAGTTTATTTCTGTTTTGTCTTTACAGTATTTTCAAATAAGAATATTATCAACTTCTTATTTTATTTGTTTTAGTCACGTCGAGCAACAAACCTTCAATCAGTTGTATTTACGAAATACATGTGGATAGTGTCCACATGTGGACACAGATGATGCCCCCGCTTGCATATCATATAGTTATAAAGGGACATAACTGAAGAATGGTAAAAGTGACGCTACCCAAATTTGAACTTGATCTGAGTTTTGTGGTAATAAGCATTGTGTATAAGTTTCATAACATTTGGTTGAGGCAAACTTAAGTTAGAGAACGGAAACTAAAAATTTTGCAATTTTTCCATTTATAAAGGGCATAACTCTAGAACGGTTAAAACGACGCCACCAAAATTCACACTTGATCTGTGTTTTGTGGTAATAAGCATTGTGTATAAGTTTCATAACATTTGGTAGAGGCAAACTTAAGTTAGAGAACGGAAACTAAAAATTTTTGCAATTTTTCCATTTATACAGGGACATAACTCTAGAACGGTTAAAGTGACGCCACCACAATTCAAACTTGATTTGTGTTTTGTGGTAATAAGCATTGTGTATAAGTTTCATAACATTTGGTAGAGGCAAACTTAAGTTAGAGAACGGAAACTAAAAATTTTTGCAATTTTTCCATTTATAAAGGGACATAACTCTAGAACGGTTAAAGTGACGCCACCACAATTCAAACTTGATTTGTGTTTTGTGGTAATAAGCATTGTGTATAAGTTTCATAACATTTGGTTGAGGCAAACTCAAGTTAGAGAACGGGAACCAATTTTGGGACGTACGGACGTACGTACAGACGGACAAGGGTAAAACTTAATGCCCCCACCCCTACGGCGGGGGCATAAAAAGTTTTATTATATCTCAATTTTAATAACTTGCATCCTCTCATTTGTGTTTGTTTAAACTCAATAGTTTATTGTTTCATTCTGTTATGAATTCGTTTTGTCAGAATAAACGCAAAATAGAATATAAAGTTTATCTTTTTTTTTTATCAAACATTTTTTCTGATTAGAATCAGGTTATATACAATGCAGTTGTCTCATGGAAACTTTTTCTATTAATAAAATGTGTATTTTTACCTACTTGTGCATGTTCTAATGGCTGTTGCCTGACATCGTCATAATAAGGTTGCAATTCCAGTATTCGGATTTCACAACAAACTGATTTTAGTCTTTAGTCACCCCTTTTAGCTGACAGTCGACGTACTTTTCGTTCTCGTTAAATGGTTAAATGTACCTCTAAATAGATAAATAGTCTTTATTTCATTAGCCACAACAATATTCTCTGAGGGTCCTCAAGTAATAAATAGGCTGAAATCAACAAAGTACATTAAATATATGTCACTGCTCTCCGTTTATAAGGATCTAACTAATTTCTGTTCTACTTTCTATTTTGCTTATCATTGCGTCAAACAATGAAATGTCTGCCTCCACATTTGAATGTATGAATTATTACGAGAAAAGCCAAGGATCCGAATAAATATCAAAACAGGAAGTAAATTAGAGCGCAGTCAGAGTTTTGTAAATGAAACGCATTTTCGATGATATTGCATACATACATGTCTATATAAATTTAAATATTAAGTTATTTTTAAAAACTCGTACGACAGATACGTTATGTCTACGGAAATCAATACTGATTTTGAACGATAACACCAAAATGTTTTGAAAATGCATCAACGCTGGATAAGGCATTTTTCATTGTGAACTTGGCCTGGGGGAATACTAGTATTGTAAGGAACAAGATACAATAAACTGCAATCAATCATTCAGTTTTATTACAAACCATGGAACTGTTCTAGCAGACGACAAACAACTCGATTACTAGTAACTAATCGCTAAAACATTATCTACCTTTCCGGACATAATACAATAAAGAGCTAAATTGGATGAGGCAGTCCCGATAACCATAAGACCAAAAAAAAGGTATATAACACTTTGCCAAAGGTAGAAAGACTTTAGTGTTTCTAATGATTTTAACATTTTATTAAGAACATTAAATTAAGATATTAAATACGCAGAAATATAGGCTGCGTCTAAACAATGAAATAACAGATTCAAACATGCCGGTAGATAACGATCTTTTTTTTTCTAATTCAAACTTATGTTTTATTATTCAAGAAACCATGTGTGTACCTGCACTCTCAGTTTATATACAAGTAAACTAGAGCTTTTTATATTGACGATTTTTTTTAAACAGATTTAAAGTAAATTAAATAGTTAGAAACTAATCCAGCAAGATAACAAGGAAGAACGACTTTAGTGGAATTGCAAAAATGAGTATATCTTTCTGATCAACTGATGACGTAAACGCTATTGGCTAGGCAGGTGGTAATATCTTTAAAGGGGCATTAGCTACGAGATAATAGAAAAATAAAAATATGATTTTTTTTTGTTCAATCATTAATGAAAATAAAATAGGGAAATAATAACTCGCTTTTAGCAGTGAGCTTGATTCAATTTTGTCAAAATAAGAGAAGAAACATCGCTGATGAATTATTCACTTGACCTTCAATTTAAACCCCTTAGCTAGAGATGGGTTACGCATGAACTAGGCGTGTTCAGCTATCAAAAGGAAAAGAATGTCAACATTGGAAGTGAAACAATGGTAAATCATTTGGTTGACTGATTCGATCCACAAAAACTCATTCTTATACTGGTAAAAACAATGACTAACATATTTGTTTAACCTATAATATGAAATCAAACAGACCTAGAAAAATCCAATTGCACGAGTTCGCTATCTATTTATATCTGTGTTTATGTTTATATCGAGTTATGTGACCGTCGGCAGTCTTCGGAGGTTACCTCGATGGTTAATTAGATGGCGTCTACTCTAAAATACACACGAAATACTGAAACATATCATCGTGTTCATGCATCGTAAATTGTTTATTTTAGACCTATTATAATTTGGATATACGTTTTAGTATGTTATAAGTCGAATATGACAATTTGAGTCAAATCGGTGAACATGATTTTGACAGCTAATGCCCCTTTAAAATAACGAGAAGCTGACAATCTAAAAACTGATATTATCGTGTTTGTCATAGATCTGTGAACATCGGCTTTCATTTCAATAACAGATCTAGACAAGAAGCGGACCTTTTTGTCACTCCAGTATTCTAAATTTCCAGTTTATTTAGATTTTGAGATTTTTAAAATACTCACTGAAAAAAAGATTATTAAAGACGACGCGACGTCATCAATATATCTTTAAATGGAGACGGGTTGTCTATTATGAATGGGCAAAGCAGTGATAATTTCGTCTTTCCAAACTTGGTTTGTCACAGTGAAATTTTTGTTAGTCTGTATATGTTTTTAAAAAATGCAACAAAGAACATAATAACATGCCCTGTTTTTTAAAATATATAATGAATATTTGAAAAGCCGTTAATGTTACAGGAGCCTATAATTCAGTGGTTTTCGTTTTTTTTTTGCTGTTTATCGTTTATTGTTTTGTACATAAATCGGGTCGTTAGTTTTCTTGTTTGAATTGTTTTACATTTGTCTTGTTTGAATTGTTTTACATTTGGCATTTCAGGGCGTTTATAGCCTGCTATGCGGTGTGGGTTTTGTTCATTGTAAAAGGCCGTACGGTGACCTATAGTTGCTGACTTCTACGTCATTTGGCGGAGATATTGTCTCATTGGCAATCATACCACATATTTTTATTAGTATATTACCAGTATATAAGTACTTAACATTTTAAACATTTGCGCATAATAATTCCGTTCTCTCTTTTCCACTACCAAAGTATAAAACCTTTCTAACAGCAAAAAGAAGAGTCAATAATGGAAAGTTATTGCTATTATTAATGTAAAATTATTATACGTACAAAACCAATTTTATGATAAATATTGTAAATTATGGGGACATTGTTTTCATTGTTGATGTTGTCAAACTCGACCTACTTCAAGACACACGATAAAATTACTTTTTTGGGAGGTTTAAAAATCTGATAAGTTTGTCAATGAGACTATTCGGAAAATTATCAAAATGGAAATGAGTGTATTAATTTGTAAACTTTGACAAAAATATCAAAAACTCATAAAGAGTTGAACGTTTAAAGTCCCATAACTCTAAAAAGACAAATTTGAAAATCTTCAATTTGTTTTTATGGAACCAAAAATTGTGTTCACAGTTTTTTTTAAAGATTCCTAAAAGATAATTGGAGAGTTAACGTCAAGTAGACGACGTGATGCATGGACCAATGACTACTACATTAATTCATCATGTCCACTTCTTGGCAAAATGAAACGACTAGTCCAATAATTATTTGATCATAATTAGTTTCATAGGCTCACACGCCGACTATCAAATTTCAGTATCGTATAAATAATGCATATATATATAAGAATAAGAATGACCAAAAATATTAAACAGTACAATACACTACACCCATCATCAATAATTCCCCAACTCCTTCGTTAATGAAAGACGTACAAACAATAAATATGACAAACAATAATGATCAACACATGGTCCTGATAGCTGAAAAAAAACCCATCTTAAAACAACACAATCATGCGTCCGAAGCGCCCCTCTGGACCTACATGCATTAGAACAGTTAAACCATAATTTAAATGATGACCTGATATTTTACTTTTTGTAATTTCAATTCTATTCAGACATTATGATTGCAGTAAATCCAGTACTGTTCAGCGGTATACGATTCAGTATGATGTTGTTTTGTACAGTTGAATAATAACCACTGAATAGTCTGAAACTAGACTGGACAAATCTTAATTGACTGCAAGCGAATTGTCTGAACAATACTGAATATGGTCCATGTATATTTACGTCCTTTCGTTTTTTGTTTTGAAAAATCAAAAACAAAAAACATAAGTGTTTTTCGTTTTTCGTTTTTGATATCTTAAAACAAAAAATGAAAGTTTTTGATATCACAAAACCAAAACGAAAAACGACATATGGATTCAATTTTCTATATATAGTTATAAATATTTGTCATTTAAAAATGAGTCCGTGTATAGTTGCGCCCAATCGTTTTCCGTTTTGCAAAAACAATTAACGAAAGTGTTTTCGTTTTTCGTTTTTGATATCTTAAATCAATAAAAGAAAAACAGAATTTTTCATTTTTGATTTCTCAAAAAAAAAAAAAAAAAAAGCGAAAAACAAAAGTGTTTTGGTTTTTCGTTTTTGATAACAAAACAAAAACTAAAATCGACATTTGAATTCCTGTTTTGTATATAGTTCTAGGTCATTTTCATTTTATTGTGAACAATGTTTTAATTTTTTGTTTCAGTCATCGAAACCGAAATACGACATTGTAGTTCGTTTTCTTTCACGCTCATCAAATATATCTCAGAAGATTTAATGTAGACAAAATAGACCTCTTGACTTATGAATAAAAATAGGGTGATTAATGAAACAAAGTCTTTCAAATTTTCTTGTTTTTATTTATAATAAGAAATAAAAATTTTAATATCGAAATATTAAATAGATTGCAAATTTAAATTATACAAAGAAATATACTATGACGATGGTAAATATATAGTATCGTTTTCATAACAGTGTGGACGAGACCATTTTTTGGCGCGCTAAAGTCTCCCATTGAATGGGTTAAATTAGGTAAACGTTCCGTCTGTAACGCCCACTTATCTCGTCGTATTTATTATTATAGACATTTAAACTGTGGGGTCACCAAAGGTTCTCAACGCCTAAATCAAATAATTCGAAAAACAAGTACAGGAATAACCTCTTTTGTTTTGATTGATATTGAATACTTAAACGTTCTTTACTTGCGTTTTTGTTATGTTTTGATAAACAATTTTTATGATATCGCACGTTCTTTAAACATAAAAATTAAATTAAGATTGGGGTACACTTCAATACATTTTTTTTTTGTTTAAAAAATTATGCCCAAATACAGGGTTCTCACTAAGGCAAGGCTATGAGTCTTAGTCTCATCATTTTCAAAACGGGTAAATCCAAAAAGATTGTAAAATGTTGTATCAACATGATCAACTGAGTACAAATATAATTATTTTATGTCATTTTTCTAAACTTGCTCTATTTTGTCATGAGGACTGAAATGACAAATAATATAGCAATAAAATTTTATCTTCTTACTGTTGGACTCACGGTCACCATGGCCAAAAATAAATCATTTGTATTTAATTGTTCTTCCTATTCCTAAATCTTATACATTTATACAAACAAAAATATTTTCGGAGAGAATGTATGAAGGTCATTCTATATTCATACATTTTTTTGTGTTGCTTTATTTAAAAATAGTACAAATATTAACTTTTTTAAAGGTATCTGCTATCAGTGCCATTTAAAGTTACCAAAGTTAAAGATATTCTAATATTAGAGAATTTTAGTTGTCAAAACCAATAGGGAAATGTTAGTGGACTGTGCCACTTTTGTTCTCCTGTGTACACTTTTTTTAATGCCTTTTTTTCTACTGCACTGATCCTTTTGATTTCAATACACATAAAAGTACATTCATGACATTAGATTACAAATGGGCTTTAAAAGTTCAATTTTATTGATAT